GCTCTGCCCGAGAGCCTCAGCCGTGCTGGGACCAGTGCTCCCAGTAAGGGCGGCTCTTGGAGACCCGCACGACGAGTACGTAGAGGCTGGGTCCTCACCCGATCGCAGCCTGAGGCCTCGCTCCCCCATACTCACCTTAGGAATTTTTGTAGCACGTTTGTTCGGAGTTTTGGATTATTTCACATGTTGTGAGGTAATTAAGTCCGCATCTAGGCCTTTGTGCTTAGTAACAACACCAAAATCAGCCAGCGCGGCTCCTTCAGCCTTGTGCAAATGAGTCTTGCCAACACATGGCAGGGTGCAGCATTTTAGCACCCAGTGTATATGCTGACACCGTTCTCTCACGCTGAGAGGCTGCTCTGCCTCCCTGAAGACGAGCCTTACTGACGCAAGAAACATTGGTGCTTCAGCACCAGGGAAGTGACTGCAGTTGGAAACTGGAAAAAAATGTTTTAGCCCCCCACTTGATGCAAAAAAGGAAATATTGGGTAAGTTAAATTGCCAGCTGTATAGGTTGAGCAATGGCTGAAGTCCCTTCATGCTCTCATGTGAAATGTAAGATTTGAAAGAAGAACTGTAACCGCAGTCAGCTAATCTGTGAGACTGCCGTACCAGACACATGGAAGGAGGAAAAGGGTTGATTTTTTTATCTATCATTAGTTTCTGTCCCTTGATGAGCACTGTAGAGCAACAGATACGATTAAAAATTACCTGGAAGTAGATGTTAAGATCAAAACGAGTCTTGTCAAACAAAGAATAAAGACCTTATTGTGTGGCAGTCTGCCAGTGTACTACTGCCAGTCTTAAAAATTGATTTTAGAGTCTAGAAATAGTTCTGTTGTTCAGCAAGTCCTGCAGTAGCCTTCAGCACAGGTGAGGATCTTGTGCCAGGAAGAATGGAACTGCTTTACAGATGTTCAGTAAATTTGAAAGAGGATTATTGGCAGTGATCACGTTTTACACGTTCAAAGGATTTAAAACAAAATACGAGTCTCTGGGCATTTGCTGTATTCGAGCAAAGTCTAGATGGCACAGGCGTTCAAAGTAAAAATGATAACTGTTGGAGATCTGGGTATCTGGTTTGATTTAATTCCTATTGAGCATTGTGCATTGAAACAGAAATTGAAGTAAAGAAAGATTAGGTTGTTCAAACATACATGAAAATGAATGGAGTTTTTTTCCCACTAAATGGTTTATTGTCAACGGATGGGAGTTTTTTCGTATCAGACTAGTGAAATAAGTGCTGATAAAAACTTTTGTTTTCTCTATTGCTGCAAAAATTGCGGCGGTATATGATGCCAGACCCAGTGCAGTCAGTCTATCACGAAAAACAACAAAAAAGACCCTTCTTAGGAGGTCCCTCTTATCATTACAAAGAGCTGAATTTGTTTCATCTTCTGCTAAAAATCTCCTAAATGGAATACCAGGCCATACAGGAACACTAGGCCACATCGCCACTTTTCTTTTGTAGGTGGGGAACTACTTACGTATGTTTCGGGGTTCCCTGTACAAGAGATATCCCTCACTCTGGAGGCGACTAGCCACAGTGGAAGAAAGGAAGAAGATAGTGGCCTCTTCACATGGTGAGAAGATGAGTAAACGTTCCCAGTAACATTTATCTGAAACTTGCCTTGAAAAACTGTCTCTGGCAATTCAGAGGCTTTGTACCTTGAGGGCTGTGCGAATCACTTCAGATTGCCCCAGTGATGGAGTACTCTGCAGTGGTGGCACTGGTAGCTTCTGGTTCAGCCTGGCAACAAACATCAACTGATCAAAAATGTTCTAAAATGGAAACATCCATCATGGCTTTCCTGGGGTTGGCTGCATTCATCACAAAGCAAAAGCCACTTCTGAAAATCAATACCGTATTTCAAAAGACACTTTTACAGGCAAAGAGGGGCGTCTTTGTCTCTTCTGTCAAATAGGCAGGAATGCTGCAAGTATGCCCCATTGAAAATGCGTGTCTTTGTGTAACTGCTTTTTGCAGGGACTGAATGTTTATGCCTCCCAGAATTTATTGTGTATTGCCACTGATGTGACTGCCACAGTGAGAATACAGCTGCCTCAGTATTATTTTTGGTGGGGGACTAATAACAAGCAGTTAAATTTCTTAGCAACGTGACTTGTACACTCTTTAGACTAAAGCATAATAAAAATAAATTGTTCATTCTGGACTTATGTCTCTTTCCTCCAAGTATCCTGCTGACCTGTTGCTTTGTTTTCTTCCCCCCCCTAACAGAAAATCAGCGGTCTCACAGTCCCAGAAGATGTAAGTCTTATCTGCTTGTTATTCTTAGCTGTGCTAGAGGAAGAATCTCGTCTGTGACCTTTGGTGCTATTACAATATATATTAATGTCTAATCCTCTTCCTCTGATCTCTCCCTGTGGTTGCCCTAATTGTGCATCCTGATCACATGCTTAACTCTTCTTTCTCAGAACCCTAATGGGACTCTCAAATGCAGGTGGTCTCTGTAATGCAGCAAGAGCTCCTCCTGAGGTTTCTCCCCCTTTCCCAAGTCTTATCAGCTTTTCTGTTGATCATTTACTTTCTATTTCCAATCTTTAAGTTCACTGAGGATTTTTTTTTTTTCTGGGCTTTTCCTCCCAGAAAGCTGTGGAAGAGATTTTACATCATTTTGGCAGATGTAGGTGTGCAGGGCTAAATCATGTGATTGCAAAGGGCAACTCAGAGTAGGAAAGAATTGTTCTTCTCTTCCTCTCCATAAGTTATAGCATGTTGGATTTAAAGTTTATCTAATAATTATGAGGATTTAAGGACTACTTTTTTCTGAAGTTTTGTTTTTGTAGTGTTTGTTTCCATCTTTGATAATTTCTGTTATGGAACTTACTTGAGTCTGTAAATAAGTTGCACCCTGGAAGAATGAGGTTCATCCAGTGGTAGTACCTGAGGGAAGGTCATGTAATTCTAACCCTCCCTGTGTCTTGACTCTTATAAGCAAATCTTGGCTCTATCACTACGTGACCATTCCAGGGTGTCATACTGCTTTTGTCTTGTGAATTGTATTTCTTTTCTAGGCGATGTGGTGAGGATTGCTATGTATTAGCTAAGACATTTCACCCCTGCTCCCAAGAAAGTCATGTTTATTCCTGCTGTTTAGATGGATGTCAAAACTTGATGATATTTCTTTAGTGCCAGGCACTGTGGCTGGGCTTCTGGTCACTCCAGTGCAAGTAACCTACCCCAGCAGCAGAGCATCCTGGTGTGTGAGAGAGGGTGGAGGCTTCTGGCAGCTCAGAAATGACAGTGGAAAGTTTTGTCATATCCTTTTATCCCATGTGTACAAAATGCCGTGTCAAAACCTTTCTTGAAAATCAAATGTCTATGAGAAGATAAATGAAGCCCAAAAGACTTTTCGGGCACACACTTGTACCACTTGGTAACCTATTTTAGTCCCTCCTGCAGCATTAGGGAGGGCTCTTCACTATGCAGTCTATTAATGCTACATTGCTATGTAGTACTTTTCTATGTTAATTATTGGCATCTTTCCTGGTAATAGATCATGGCTATACAACATTAGCCACTAGCGTGACACTGTTAAAGGCCTCTGAAGTGGAAGAGATCTTGGATGGAAACGATGAGAAATACAAGGCGGTGTCTATCAGCACAGAACCTCCCACCTACCTCAGGTAACCAGTGTCGGTGAGGGCCAAGATCAGAACAGAGCTGCCTGGAAGATGTCAGCTTGGGCAGGCAGCACAAGAAATTGCATAAACTCAGGCCATTGTGCAGGAGGGTGCTTGCCAGTCTGTGCTAACAGTCGTTTGTAGTGTTGGGCAAATGAAGATCTCCAGAGTGTAAGGATTGGGTTACTGCCCACATACAACAGGAAGAAAAACATAAGTGTTTGATAATACAGCTCATCTTGCAATTACTGCATTCCAGCTGTAACAGATGTTTTGCAGAACACACTCTCTGCATGTACTGTCTTCTGGAGACCTTGCGTTTGTCAGCAGTCCTTTTATAAAGTATAGATAGAACATCCAAGTACGAACCTAGTATTTATAATGGTGCACCTGGATTCATATCTGATGAATAATTGTGAGCTGGAGAATAGGCTTCCCAGAGGCTAGCGTGGAACATGGGTTCTCAGTGGAACAATATTGAGGGTTCCAGAATAAAATAGCAGGAGCTCATTGAAGCTTAAAATTATACCATTCCTTCAGTAGCAGCAGTAGTGCTCAGGGCCTGCAGTTTAACATGCAGTCTCCTTCTTTAGAGAACAGAAGGCAAAGAGGAACAACCAGTGGGTGCCAACCCTGCCCAACAGCTCTCATCACCTGGATGCAGTGCCATGCTCAACAACAATTAACAGAAATCGCATGGGCAGGGATAAGAAGAGAACGTTCCCTCTGTGGTAAGACAGCTTCCTGCTTCTGAAAAGTGGAAACTGTTACCAAAATGACATGCTGCTGGGGTAATGCTGATGAGTTAATAATGTTGTGATTTATCTCCAACTGACAAAAGACCTACCGGTCGCTAATTTGGAGGTTCTTAGTTAAACTGTATGTCTTGAGGCTCTTCCTTAGAGCGGCCAGCCATGGCTCAGAGAGGAGGCTTTCCTTTTGTCAGGAAAATGGTTCATTCTTTTCGTGATGAGTTCCTTCTACTTTCCGTTGATGTGCTGAGCAGTTGTCATTTGAGGAGCCTGCAAACCCTCTCTGTGAAGGACAGGCTGCCTCTCACTGACATATTCCAGTAACTTTGATCTAATTTATTTAATGGAAAATGCTGCTGTGGCTCATGACTAACTTTTATTTTCTATTATAAAAGTTGAGGACACCAAGATAAATGTAATCCTGGAAAGCTTCCTTGTTTTATTTGCAGGAATGTATTACAATAGATATAATAAAAGGTGATAAACTTTTGGCTGCCGCAGGCCTGTAAGCTTGCATTGAGGAGTCTGTCAAAAGACTGATTGGGGACTTGTAGTGTGGGGATTGCTTCCAACAAACATTGCTGTCCCTCTATGTATGCCAGATGTGCTAGTTGCATATACTGTGTTGTTGCTCTTCGTATTAGCTTTGATGACCATGACCCAGCAGTGATCCATGAGAATGCATCCCAGCCGGAGGTTCTGGTTCCAATCAGGCTTGATATGGAAATTGATGGGCAGAAACTCAGAGATGCGTTTACGTGGAACATGAATGGTATGTAGGAAGGAGAGTTTCATGAGGCTGGAGAGAGATAGTTGTATCCATCACCAAATATGAAGAAAGAACAAGCATGAGTGTGCATGTCCTTGCCCCATATACACAAAGCTTTAAAGCTCTCCCGCTTTGGACTGTATTCAGCTCTCATGTCTCTTGGTGAATGCTCTGCCACTTCCATGGGTTGCAGTCATTCCTGGACACGTGTATTCTGAAGAGTTTAACTGGCATATTCTCCTGACCCAGTTCATCAGCTCAGTGGTCCAAGACTATTCTGTTAGCTGAGATACTTTAAATACAGAACAGTTAATGTGTATGGTTCCTTTATGTATGTGGATTATTAGACCATAACTACGTTGCCTCCGTGGAGCAAGTAAAGAAGGCTTTAAGTCCCTATGTTGGTGTGCTTGTCCTTACAAACCTGATACAAAAGGTGATGCATTTGGAATTCCCTTTGTCACACTGTGGGATTAATTTTGTGCATTCTGTAAGTGGCAGACATTGATTTCTGAGAAAGTTAACAGTGTCTGTTCATTCTTGTTCTGTATCAGAAAAGCTAATGACCCCAGAGATGTTCTCTGAGATTCTTTGTGATGACCTGGATTTGAATCCTCTGACCTTTGTCCCTGCTATTGCCTCTGCCATCCGACAACAGATCGAGTCGTACCCAACTGACAGTATCCTAGAAGATCAGTCAGACCAACGAGTTATTATTAAGGTAATACAGAGACCTGAACCATTTGGGTTTGTCTAGTTATGTTATGGTGGAGTAAGAGTACAAAGGCTTCCCTCGGAGCAAAGGAGCTCTTAATTCCAGTTCTGTGTCCAGATTACATTTTGTCCTTTGTATTGAGAACAGAACCAAGGTGGCAGATTATTAAACATTCATGTGCTAGCAGCCCCTGAGATGATGAAATAGTTCAGTTAAAGCATTGTCATGTTCTTTTGGAAGAACTGAATCTTGGTGAGCAAAGCCAAGTTGTCATCATGCTACTGGAATTAAGAATTCAGTTAAGGAGCTCTGCAGATACAGTGAACTAGGAGTTACCGCTCTGCTTCTCCAGCCTCTCTCCTCAGTTAAATGACCTTTGACAAACTATTGTGAGAATGGAAACAAATGACATGTTTTGTCCCTTGTCTCCAGCTAAACATCCATGTAGGGAACATCTCCCTTGTAGACCAGTTTGAGTGGGACATGTCAGAGAAGGAGAATTCACCAGAGAAGTTTGCCTTGAAGCTGTGCTCAGAGCTTGGCCTGGGTGGGGAGTTTGTCACAACTATTGCCTACAGCATCCGGGGACAGCTGAGTTGGCATCAGAAGACATACGCCTTCAGGTACAGAACTGTCATCTTCCTAGTACGGCTGTGGGTGTGTGCTTGTACTTCACAGGTATTGGCATCAGTGAATCTTAGAACAGCTGACCTGATGCAGAAAGCTTCATTTGAAATTGGTCCTTATGCCTTGCACCCGTTCTGTCCTCCTTACAATTTTTTGTGCTTGTGCTCAGGAATCTTCTCCTGTTGGGTGTAATACATTTCAGGACCAAATATTGATGAAATGTCAGCTTTTGCTGCAGAATGAAAGTCTTTTGTAATAGTGACTGAATACCTTGCGTCTCCCTCTTCTAAAGCATGCTCATGACGACGATGAGCCCCGGAGACATTCCTGTTTTGTTGGCTTTGCCTAACTTGGGCCATCCACTGTCTCAAGCTTTGGTGTTTTGAGCTAAGACTGATATAAACTGTAGCTCTCTACCCCAGCTGATGTTAAAATTGGCTTGATCGTGGGCCCTTCTCACAGCTGGAATGCAGCAGTGTCAGGTTTGATTAGTCAGCTTTGTAACTTGTCTCCTAATGATAATCGTTTCCAGTTGTGCTGTGCAGTGTTCTGTGGTGAGTTACTGTACTGATGTTATCCTCAGCATGTTGCTGAGTCTGCAGGTTGCGAGTATCCCTTAATGTGCGCTGTGATATTTTATTTTTTTGAGTTCAGGTCATGGTGACAGTCAAGGAAGTTTGAGAGTTCATCAGATGATGTATTTGCAGAGGTGAGGGAATGGTACTGTTGACAGCAGTTTTGTAGAGGTCAGTTCAAGGAAGCAGGATGACCTGCCTGGCAGCAAAGGGAAACATGCCCAGCCCTGTCCCTGTCCTACCTCAGGGAGAGGGCAATGAGTAGTTATTGTGGGGGTAAGCAAGGAGGAGGTGGAGGCTGTGAGGCAGCTGGCTGCTGCCATTGAGCTCTGCTCCTTCCTCCTCCTCCTTCATCCGAAGGTTTCCTGTCTGGTCAACGTTCTGTGGAAAATGGGCACTGATCTGCTCTGGAACAGCTGCTCTTCCACTAGTTTCACTCTGCTTCCTCTGGAGGTTATTTTTATCCTGAAAATCTTCCACAGCAACTACTTGGTTCTAAAATGATCCCCAGAGTGGTTCATATTAGAAAATGGAAAGGCACCCCTTACCACATGGGAATTAAACTCTTCTACTGAAACTGTTAGACTGTGTGTCCATCCTGCTGATGTCCTTTCTCCTTATGGAGGTGGCGAGGTGACTTCTACCTTAACACCCATGACAGCTCACTGATACTTGCAGATCCAGCATGGGACTGTATCCAACTGTAACAACAGAACAATGAGTGTGCATTCCTGAGAAATTATGGGAACTTGGAGGGTGGTAGATAGGAATCTGATACCTGTAGTACTGCCTCTTCTCCCCTGCTGCTGAGTGTGTTATAACTATGACAGAACTGAGCTAGTAGTGTCTGCATTGTGGCCTGCAGTAGCAGAGAGTAATAGTGTCCCTGCTGGTAGGTGCAGTTCTTGGAGCCAGTGTGAAGTAGACTTTAGTCTCTAGTTTAAGCTAGCTTATGGCAGAGAGTGAGTTCATTTCCATAAGGTTTAGTAGGACTCCTTGTTGCCTGAGCATTCCCAGGAGTTTGAGCTTTCTTCTTCGTATCTTCCTTGAAGAAGAGAGGTGGCCCTGTTCACACCATGCTGGCCAGGAAGCCCTCTTTTCTACTCATGATTTATTTACCTTCCCAGTTAATTTACTTCAACAACTTTTTAGCATACTGCCTCCCAGCCCACAGGGCATTTGTTCCTAATTCTTGTCACTTGGTGTGTCAGAGGCAGGCTTTGTCCACATGTAGTGGACACTAAATGCTCTCCCTCCTTCCTGTGCTTCTCCATATATTGCAGATATCAGAGTTAAGAAATTAATCTGTGTACACGTTAACTGTTGTGAAGGGGGTTCATTTCTGCCTTTGCTTCTTATCGGTCTCTGTAACTTGCAGCAAGTAAAATTTTTGTCAGTGCTGCCCAGGCTCGCTCAGATATATTAATGCCAACTTCATGGTATTCTCTTTAAAAACATGTATCTGGCCATGGTTATTCAAGAGTGCTTCCTTTTAAGGGTACTTCAAACAGGTGGATTTCAGGCCTTCTTTAGACTGTGGCAATATTGCAAGGGGAAGAATCGAAAACTAGGAAGGGAACCGCAACAGAACAAAGTACGTAGACATGAACTGTTCAGGGAAGAAAAACCATCTAATTTAAAACTCGTTTTGTGTCATAGTAAAAACATGTCCTCCTCTTCCCTTTTTCCTTCCAGCAAAGGAGTACTTTTGAAACCTTACAGTGATTAATGATATTTGGGTTCTGTGGTTAGTTAGTTCCTGAATTCCCAAACCACGGGAGTGGTGGTTGCTCCAAAGTCATTCCACTGATGTAAGAAAGGGTCTGCTTTAGATGTATCAAAAGAACCTTAGTATGTCGAGGGACTGGGGGTTTGAGAAGTCATGTGCCTCTTAATCATCTGAGGGAGAGATGAAACTGTCTTCTCGTTGATGAAAGCCAGGGCAGTTCCTTCAGATGGCCTGCTCTGTGAAGAACAAGGAGAGCCTGAAAGCCCAATGGAAGGGGCAGGACTGGAAGCAGACAGTTAACTGATGTTTATGGGATTTTCAGGGGGATGGTGTGCTATGATGATTTCCCCTCGGTATGGTTTCTAGTGGCAGCAAACAGCACTTCATAGCCAGAGTTTTTGCCTTTGAGACCTGAATGATGGCACAGGTTCTGTCACACACCAAACCTATGTGCCTGAGGGGTCACCTTTTCCAAAATAAGATGTTTCCCTGCCCTGTTGGCATGCCCATGACACTACTGCCAGAGGCCTGCACCCTAGCAGAGGGAGTGTCTTGCTCCCCTGGGAATCTTGCAGCTGACAGTGCATTTCAGTCATTCTGCCAGCAGCACTGTCCTTTTCATCAGAAAATAACGGGAGGAGAAGCTGTCTTACTTTGGATGAGATGTAGGTGAGAGATGAGGGAGAATTTTTTTCAGTTTATCTCTGATTTTTTGCTAAAGGAATGTGGTATCTGAGTTGGCTTGCAATTAAGTTGTGTGCATGAGGCTGGTTTTCCAACCCGCATTTAATTCTAGTGGGTGCTCAGTGTTAAGCATAGTAAACGAGGTAGAGACCATGCTATCAAGTCAAAAAAGCCAGTTAAGATCTACCATTTAGCCTGGAACGTGTAGCAATCTGGGGCTAAGATGAAATTCCTGGTTTTGAGTGTTGCTTAGTGGATGTCAGCAGTACTGGAGGTAGATTTGACTAAAGCTTCCTCCCAGGATCAGATACCAAAGACACTGGATTAATTTTTCATTGTAGCATTACTTTGAAGAGTTGTTATTCTAGATCAATAGCTTTTATGCAGATGTTGTCTGTTCTCATGGCGATTAGCATTTGAGTTCCTGGGGGAATGAGAGGGCTGCCCATGAGTGCTGAAATCCTGTGCATGGAGGCATGTCCCTGTGGAGGGGGCCAGATGTGTGTGCACACCTGCCGGCGGGCTTCTCACACACACACTTCCTGCAGCTCAGGCTGAGCTGCTTTCTAGAATTCAAAGCAAACATTTACATTCTGAGGCTCCTCTGTATTTATGCTGGGCTTCCAGCTCCACTGTCAATATTTGGGAAGCTACGCCTAGTCAGTTCCTGTTGACTTTTACTGAAAAGTAGCTAGTGAAGCAGTAAATATTTTTGTGCATGTGATAATACAGCTGGTCAGGGCAGAGAGATGTCTGAGGAGCAGATCTTGTGATCTGGGACAGAGCCTGGTGTTTCTTTTCTTGTGCAGGAAGTAGCCATAGCCTCTGGTTGCAACAGCAGGTCCTAAAAGATGACCCTTTCCCTGACAATTGGGAGAATGATGTTTGTTCCCATCAGGCTCCCATCCCACCAGGCTTCCAGAAAGTCAGACTTTTCCCAGGGAAGAGCTGTCAGAGGTGTGCTAGGCAAACTACACCTAGGAAGTCAGAGTTGCAGAAAGGCAAAGCTAGACCAAGAGCCCTGTTAACAGTCTCTGCTCAGCTGCTACTCTGGGAGAAGTGCTTCCAGCGCTAATAAACTGGTATGAACTTTGCCTGTGCTTATTTGGGTTTGAACACTGTCAGCCAGTTACGTAATGGCCTTTGCGGGAGAAAACTGCGTCAGCCACGGTTGCTTTGACAAACCCCTCTCTGGTGGTGAAAGGAGATGGTCATAGTTGGTTTCCCAGAAACTTCAGGCTCCACAAGACTGTAACCATCAGCCCTTCGTGTGCTCCTGGGAACCAGGCTGTACTATGTGGGGCTAAGAATGAATGCTTGAGCCTGAAACCCTGTAAATGACGCTCTGTTGTCCTTGTGTCTTGCATCTGGGCTGGTAACCCAGAGGAGTGCTCTGGGACCGCTGATGGATGTTCCTTTGTTGCCTTCTGCCCTGCCATGCAGCGAGAACCCTTTGCCGACTGTGGAAATTGCTATTCGCAACACGGGGGATGCTGACCAGTGGTGCCCTCTTCTGGAAACCCTCACAGATGCCGAGATGGAGAAGAAGATCAGAGACCAGGACAGAAATACAAGGTGCTGCCACTCGTTCAGACAGTTCTCTTTCTGGCCTGTCTCTTAAGACAGAATTTAAAAGCTTTGATGTTTGTCTTTCTCTGCTGAGAGCCAACTGGCAGGATTTCAAACTTGCACACCACAACAGAAACTCATATCCCTTTAGCTTCAGGATATTAAACTGTTAGCACCCTGCTGCACAAACATTTAAATCTCTACTTTAACCATCTCCTGCTTGAAGCAACGTTTCCTTTTTTAAATTTTTTTATTTTTATTTTTCCCTGGGCTCTCTGCTTGTGCAGGGGGATTTGTTCCTATAGGAAGGCATTCATCAAAAATATTGGAGTTTCATGCACTGTCATGCTACCTAGAATCCTGCCACAAGGCTTCCTTTTATGTAGGATAAAGTGCTGTTTGATGTAGGAATGGGCAAGCTCCCAGCTCCAGCCTGACTGATGCTGACCTGTTTGCCAGCGTGCGGGAGCACTGTTGTGATTCCAGGAGGAGCTCTGCCGACCAGAGACCTGCTAAGTGATGTTTGACAAGCAGTTGAGAGCACTTGCTCCTACTTGGTGAAATTGCTCCTGGCAGATAAAAATGAACTGCTGGAATGTCTCCAAAAGATACATTGTGGGAACAGTAAATATGCTGGCTCAGCTCTTTACCAGGATGTTTTTACTGCTGATTAAGATTCATAATTATTTTGCTTCTTAGCTATGACTGGTTGAATAGTTTTCAGTAGTGATCAGTTCAAGTTAATCAGCAAAAGTGCCCTAAAAGCTGTTCTGAAAATAGTGTCTTAGCCTTGTCAACAGGGGCACTCTCAGGTGACCAAGGAAGTCTGTCTAGGCAATAAACCTGTTTACAGAGTTCACAAAGCTGCGGCAGTCTCCCCAAAAGCGTTGGTTTTAATAAGACTTCACATGACTGTAACACAGCACTTACTGTACCTCTTTCTCTCCCTCCTAGGCGCATGAGACGTTTGGCCAATACTGCTCCAGCCTGGTAATCTTCCTGTTGTGACACTGGTGCTCTTCCTACAGACTTTATCCCTTCTCCTCTCCCCAAATGGATCTAGGATTGGCAGGGGTCTTTCTGTCCCTGAAGGGGACACACATTCCACTTGCCAAGAGTTCCCAGTACTGCTGACTTCTGCCCCCATCCCCTCCACCTAAATGCCACGTAGCAAGAACGCTGCGTTAGCACGTGATCTATCCGAGACCTGTGGCAGCTGTTGGAGCCCTTATATACCTGTGTGTGGACAGTGTAAAGATTCTTTTGTATAGGTGCAACATGCACTATTAGGACAACTTTTTAAATAAAAGGAATGCATACTACTTAGGTTGAGTTCAGTAGGTTTGAATGAATAGTGAATCTCACTGTGTTTTGTGCTATTCTGGTAACTGAGCAGTCCCAGGGCCTAGTATTAATGCTTTTGAGTATAATGCTAAATAGTCACATGCCTTCAGTTTTCCTGAAGCATGGTGGAAACAGAGTGCTTTACTTCAACAGATAGCTAAAACAGCCTGCAACCTTTTGCTGCAGGGAAAGTGAGAATGAGACTTAAAACTAGAAGCAGCAAACAACTCTCTAAAGGACTGGTCTGTTACCACACTTGGTGCAGTCTGTAATGAACTCAGTGAGGTGTTCAGCTGGCTTACTTGACAAGGGTAGAACAGTTTAACTGAAGTCACAGATGTAACATTCATTTCTGTCAGATGTCAACCTGGTGTGTGGTGAACCCTTTTTTCTGTGAAGACTGCATCTGGAAAACAACGTCTCTGAACTGGTACAAAAGCTGGAGCCTGCAATCACTGAGACTACAGCTGCTTTTCAGCGAGTGGCTTTGCTGTGGTCATTGTCAGTGCACATAGCTGCCAGTTACACTGCACAGAGCACCCAAAGCAAAGTGGGTGTCTTAAATACCCTTAGCACTACAGTGTCAGGATTTTGCAACCCTAGAAGCAACCTGTCTTTCCCTGGGGAGTTTAAAAACAGAAAATCTATTGAAGTGAGATTAAAAAAATTCAAGCTTGCTTAAAAAACTAATTAGAACCTACCTTGCTGTTGAGGTACACCAGCTCTTTGATAAGAGTTCCTACCATTCACTGCCAGAACTGATAAGTGTTGCAAGCAGGGCAGTTTTGCTGGCAGCCTGACAGTTATGTTCAGGCCTTTATCATAAAGCCAATGGGTTTTACAGTCCTTGCTGATCCACCCACACTGCTAGCACAGTCAAAAAACACTTTCCAGCCTTAATTTATCATGTGTAGACTTGAGTAATAGCAGAGCCAGTTCTGATTCCTGGGTGGGAGGGAACTTTTTCCAGATGTTAGTCTGCAGGAACCACAAACTTGCAATTTAGCAATCATATCATTGCAGTCTTATTCTAGGCTCCAGTGCCAGAGTGGTACTCTATCCGTTATTCCTTATTAAAGAGGTTGAAAGGTTATTTCAGCAAGGAACACAAAACCTAGGACTCCTGCTGCATCTTGGCCTCCCATGTAAAAACATATTTTTGCCTCATGGACATAAAAACTCCCATGAGAACATTTCAGCCTCTCTTTGTTATGATCAGGTACTTCTGCAAGCAGCCTCTTCAGGGAATTCGACCAAAACAAGCATGAGAGTGCTGTAGCCTTAAACTAGCATCTGTGATGCAATTTTTGAATTGCTGTGAAGCTTGTAGTTACCTCATCCTAAAATTCACAAGGCATGGACATGCAAGGACTACAGCTTCTGTGGCTGGTTTACAAGTGCCTCCCTCTGCTTCTCAAGCCCCAGAGAGGCTGTAGGAATTGTCCCTCCAAGCAGCCAGGGGCAAGGCAGGACAGTCCAGGGGGCCAAGTCCCAGAAAGATGAGAACTTCAGCCAGCTTTCTCCATGTATTAGGACTACTAGGCAACAGCTGGGAGCAACTTTCTTGCTCTATAATCACAACTGCTTAGGTTAATCTAGCACCCTAGCTAAAAGCGTAGCCCAGATTTTGCATTTCAAAGTCCCATCTCAGAAGCAATTTAAAACAGAACATCTGTAGACTTTAAAGACAAACTCTTCCCAGGGATTGAAACACCAGCTCTGTGTTACTATGTCATGAGCAAAGCACATGGCAAGTACCTGTCAAGTCTGAGGCTGCTTAGCCTTTAGTACCACTGTGTCTCCCAGAACAAGATTACTATCTGTACAGTTCTTGCATCCTCTTCCTAGAAGGAAACAAGTGCAGCAAAATAGCTTGTTCAAATTAAGTCTGATTTTTCATAAAAAAGGTGTTCTCATGGGAAGCCCACAGAGGAGGTGGGAGAGGGGGAGGCTGTGGTTCAATCTTCCTTTGCCACAAGGCTTCTATATCATTCTTCTTAATTGGATGCTGGTTACTCACATTTCTCATAGTAGTTTTAGTGGTGGTTTGCAAGCTTGTCTAGCTGAGCAGACAGCAACATTACCATATGAGCTATCCTAAGATATATTTGCAGATTTACTCCAAAGGCTTTGAGGTCGGGTGCAAGCACACCTGTGTACTGCATTAGCAAGAATGACCAAATCCATTTAGTACAGCTGTTCATGGAAGGGACTAGCTTGTTTAGTTTTCCCCTAAAATTCAGATGTTTAAGTTTCAGAACTAAAAAAATTCAACAAGAGTGGAGTTACACTGCATGTGGAGACAGCCTTTATTACTAGTGTCAAGTGCTACTTCCAGTCACTGCCTGGATCCAGTGTCTGGCTCTGTGCCCTGTCCTTTCCCAGGCATCCCTTTGTCCAACTAGACACACCCCCGCCCCCCTCCTCATGCTCTGCAGTCCTTCTGACAGAAGAGGGGAAGGACACATTCCAGCTAGCCTGAACTTTGCTTTGCCCACCAAAAAAGAAAAGCCCAAGCAAGCAGCCTGGCAGTTTTGAACAAATTCCTGATGAGTACTGGCGAATTGCTGCCTCTGTCCCTGGCAGAAATGGACACACAACTGAAAAATAAAGACTTTAATGTAAAGACTCTTTGGAAACAACCAAAAAAAGGAGTGGGGGACTTAGAAGAAAGGAAGAGGCTGAGCTGCATTCTACCATGGTAGAGTTGGGAGTACTACTTCATTGAAAGCCCACAAAGATGTCTCACAACAGTGAGAGCCAGGAGCATTAGTCTTTGTACAGAGGACAAGAGTGACCTGGCACACAGCAAGTCATTAACAGCAAGAGAAGGAGTAACTGGTTTAACACCTCATTTGATACTTATTCCCCCCCCGGGTAACTGAGGAGCCATCACAACTTCCAGTCCCTGTCCCTAGGACACCTCCGTAAGCATTCATGTGTTCTTATGTGCAAAGCTCTGTGGAACCACTTGATAAAAAAGGAAGATGGGTTACCCATACAAACAGTGAAACATTACACATTGGAATGGCAACTGGTGTTATTCCAGTAGGATCTCTGGGCCACAGCATAAGTCCAGCCGGAAGAGAGGAATCTGGCCACATGGAGAAGTCCCTTGTGTTACTGTGGATGCTGCTGCTGGTTCTGGTCTTGGTCTCTAGGTTGGTTTTCTGGACGATCCTCAGGGAGAGGGTTATAGTTGGGATCCTCTTCAGGTGTGTCAAATACCATCTTCCTGGCAAAGGACATGCCCATCCCACCAAGCAGGCAGGTTAGGAAAGTGAGCCAAGGGCAAAACCCTCAGCCCTCCTATAGCCCTTCACAGGGCTTGGCTGTATGCCACAGCCACCTGCCTACTGCAGCAGCCCTAACTGTTCTTTTGCTCAGCTCAATATGTAACCATGACAGTACCTGCTTCCTTGATCTCTAGGTCAGCTTTGATCCTCAGCATGAAGCAGAACATATTCTGCTTTCTTAAACTACAGAAATACATCAGAAAAAAATCCTACCTGCATCCAGCATTTCCACAAGCAGTAAGAACACTCCAGTTCAACTAGCAAAGCTTAAGGTAACAGCAACTGCTTTATGGACCCTGTGTACATATGTATATAATGTGCAAAGTGCCAGTGCTTTCTGCAGCAGAGGCATAAACTGTCAAGCTGAGGTGCTATCAGCATGCAATTGCGTCCTATAGTCGCCGCATGCTGTCACAGACCACAGTTTGCTATGAAAGTGATCCAGGCTGCGAAGCAACACAGCAAAGCCCAGAAAGAATTGGCTTTACTTACAGGAAGCCAGGGGTTAACAGCAACTTCTTTCCTCCAGGCTGGTTGGGGAAAACATCTTCCAAGAAATAATAGATGTGACCCACTGCAATCCCTGGGGAGAGATGTCAGGAAGGTCAGGCCCAGCTATGACTCCTTTGCCAGCTGACCCAGAGCTGCTGGGAGCCTAAGCAGGATGAAGCTCCAAGAATCCCTCAGCTGTGTACCCACATCCCAGCTCCCACCAGAGTGCTGGGGTGCCAGAGGGCCAGGCTGTTTGCTGTGCCCAACTTCTGATGCTGTGGAAGACATAGCAAAACACAGGTCACAAGCAAGAGCTCAGGCAGGAGGCTGGCCACCCAGCAGCCTCAGCCAGCTCACTTTAGGAAATCCACCATCTGAAATAAGATGAAACCAAGAAACCATGCTAGTGCCCCAGTAGCATCTATGAGAATTGAGAGCACTGCAGCTGCAAAGGGCCCTTGTTCCCAGCACCCACCAGCTTTGACTTACCCAGTAAGTCGATGATGATGGAGTTGCCCAGGAGCAGAGAGAATCCCATCAGGACCCAGGGCAAGAAGGGGGCCTGGAAGTTAAGAAGCCCAAAGAAGTTCATGCGGATGTATGGGTTCCTGCGACTCCACACGTACACCAGCATGATGGTGAAAGCCTGGCCCAGGAAAAACAGGCTGGCAAAGAGTCCAAATAGCTAGGAACTACCGAGTCAAGGAAAAAACCTGCCCACCACCTGCAGGCAGCAGAGGATGCCTTGTGACTAGGAAACCCAGAACTACAGGCAGCTGATCACAGCATGCAAGATATTGCCCATGCCACCAAACCTTTCCTGAGCTGGCATGGCACACCACACTTCCCCCCTGCCACCCCACAGCAAGACACTCTGGAGTGGCACGTACAGACTGCTCACTCCTTAATCTACCTGCCACAGCCATCAAAGACCAGTGAGCTCATATAGTCACCTTTACAAAGTGACCATCAAATATGACATTCTGATAAGGGCCTTCATATTGTTAGAGCACTTGTGAGCTAGTTTTTAGTATGTGCCACATGTTCCATTCAGTATCCGCCACCTACAGAAGAATTTCAGCAGCGAGATGGCTGTTGCCATTCACAGCCCTCTTCTCCAGGACACAAGGAGGCAGCTGGAGGCAAAATATTCCCCTGCCCTTGTTGCAGTTAGACTCCAAATCTCCCTATGGCCAAGCACACAGCTGCCGCAGGGACCCGGACACCGACTAGCCAAACACCCGAGGATGGCCAACAGACACAAGAGTTCGCACAGCTTCATGCAGACCACTGTGGGGAGAACAGTGCTCTGAGCCATCTGCATAAGACAACAGCAAGACATTCAGAAAAGATTTTATGCTTGGGAGGGAGGTATTTCTCTCTATCCAGACTATTTCATCCTACAATAAAAGAACTCCTTAAGATGTGTGATGGTATCTCCAGCCACTAACAGCTTGCGAGGACAGAGTGCTGGGCTCACGCTGCCCAGCGTGCCGACAGCAGACAGTACGTAGTCACCCCACTCCTTGTGTTTATGGTTCTGTGTTCTTCCCTTCAGCTGCAGCTCCATTTTCTGACCCAGCCTCATGCCAATCGCAGCAGCACTCCAGTCTGCTCCACCCAGTAGAGCGCAGACACAGTTGCCCTGACACAGCTGGGTGGTTTCTCGCAGAGCGTAACACGGGGCTTCCTTTCAGGCTGACCTTCCCGAGCACACTGCCACACGTCCTCTTCTGGGATCAGGCAGCCCATCCCCTTGCCAGGTGCATCAGCACTTCCAGGCAGCTTTTCCTGTATTTTTCTTCCGCTCTAAGGGTGAGGCACAGGCCAGGAGATGAGGGTGGGCAAGATGAGGAGCACAAGCTGCTGCTGTACAGCCAGAAGTTGTCCCTCCACTACATGCTCACCAGAGCTCTACCAAGCCTCAGGGCATGTGCCTGGCAGGCTTGGGCCACAACAAAGCTCTCTGTCCCATGGCACCAAGAAGGTTCATAAGCCAGCTGTCCTGCTCAGCAGGCAGGTACCTGCTACAGACTACACAATACAGCTGGAATACAGAGAGCCAGCAGACAAGCCCCACGCTATTCACAGCATCTCAGAAGACACCAAAGAGCCTCAACCAACTCAAAAGGATACTGTCATGAGAAACCCTCCAAAGAGGAACATGAAGACAAAGTCAGCCGTCCTTCCACGGAAGGAGCCTTCTTCTAGCATGCGGCAGTACCTGTACCTGAGAGCAGGAGAGAAGGGAGGGGTTGCAGTATAGGAAATTAACAGCTGGCCACCCTGTGTCCCCACAGCATGACTTTACAGGGAATAAGCCAGGTGCAAGCTATTTCATCACAGGAAGCCATCAGCCAGGTGTCCAAGCCCCAGAGCAGAACAATGCAAACTTCACCTCATACCACTGACCCCAGGGAGAGAAAGAGACATCTGCTGTGCTCCAACCAGAGCTCACCCCAGGAATGGGCACTGCTCTCCAGCATGAGCTGCAGCAGCACTGCCAGCTTCTTCAGCCTTTTGGCAAGGGCTGCCCTGCAGCAAGCAGAGATGGAGGTACAGGAGGTGGCCACAGCTGTTGGGTGGATGGCTTCAGCTCAGGCCAAAAGAGCCAAGGGAAGAATCCACAGCCCTAAACTGCTGCCAAGACAAGTCAGCCCGGGGAGGAAGATGGGACAGGGGGAATTGCATCTAAGCCAAAAAGGGAGCAGAGAGCTTCACTGAGACCAAAGGATACAGAAATATCATGTTGAAAAAGAAACTGAATCCCAGGGGCCCAAAAAAGAGGAAGTTGGTGATCAGCCTCCATATCTGAAAGAGAAGAGAGAGGAGAGAGAGAAGGAGGTGGACAGACAGGTCTCTCCCCATCACACGTACAGCAGCCCATCACCCTATCCACTAGGGACACCCAGTCATGCACCCATCCACTCAGAACAACCCCAGGACACCAAAGAGCTGCACCACCTCCACGTGGGACAGACCTCCCTCCATTGCCCACATCAAAGTATTTTGCCCTTCCAGGTGCAGGAAAGAAGATTTCTTTACTTTTCTGGAAGGGACGGACAGCCACGATTCAGCACCCCGAACCAAAGTAAATCACTGTCTATGCCTCCCTACAATAAAGCCCTCCCCACCCAGCCTGACATCAGTTGGCCAAATGTCTCGGTGTCACAGAAAAGGAAGAGACAGGTTTTGAGTAAAGGAAAAAAGGAAACGCCAAGGCGGCGTATGGCAGGGAAAGTCTGGAAGAAGTTATCTCCATCCAGGCACCTGAGACAAGACAAGAGGGGACACCATGTTGGCGACCCAGCTCCCGCCAACCCGGGAACGCCGGAGTAGTGGGAACGAAGCCCCTTGGGATCACACGGCACTCCCCAACTACCCTGGGGAGCAGGACACCCAGGGCCCAGCCTGCCGGACCCACCCCTCGCTGGGAAGGGGCAAGAGGGGCCCCGGAGCCCGGGCGAGGCCTCACCTGGAACTTCCTGAAGATGAGGTCGGGGTTGAAGTACAGCTGGAAGGGGGTGATGAACTCCAGCTGCTGTGAGAGACAGGCAGAGCAGCTGCCACCCGCTGCCGGGCGCCCGCTGCCCTCAGCCAGCCCCCTGGCTCCCCCACCGCAGCGCAGCACCCCCTCGGGGACCCTGACCTCCCCGCCACAGCCTCCCCCCGCAGGGACCCCGCACGCCCTCACCACGGCGGCGGTGGTGAGCACGCAGGCGGTGGTGTAGGCCCGCGTCACGGCCGGCATGCCCAGGTACTCCTGCGCGAAGCCCTGGTAGGCCATAGCGCACAGCGACAGCGCCCAGCCGCGCCGCGGGCCCTCTAACGCCCCCCCCCCCCCCCAACGGCGCGCCGCCGCCGCCACGCCCCCACGGGCCGCGCCCGGCCAATCCCGACGCGACAGGCGGCGCCGAGCTGGCCAACCGGAGGGCGCCTCATGCCCTCGGCCTCCACCCGCCGCCAACCCGGAATGGACCCGCTGCAGCAGGTGACGGGCCGGCAGCGGGGGGGGGGGGGGGTGCCGCCTCCTGGAGGCGGGGCGAGCCCCGGTAGCCAATGGCAGCGGGCTGTCCCGGAGAGCCGCGGTTGAGGGAAGGCGGGGAAGGCAGAAAGCAGGTCACGTGCCTCCCGGGAGAAGGCGAATCGGCGGGAGAAAAGGGTGGGACAGCGGGGCCGGGGCGGGGCTAAGGGTGCTCGCCCTGGAGGAGGGGCTGCGCGGGCTGGGGCGGAGCCCGCCCCCGCCCCCGCTGCTCCGGCCACGCCCTCCGGGGGCGGGGCGGGGA